AAATAAAAATATGTTATTTATCAAGATATATCAATGATAATTAAACAAAATAGTGATGAACAATTAAGGGCTTGTTAAAGACAAGTTATTTTAACATAAAACAAATTCTTGGATTGATCAAATATCAAACTAGAAAGTAAATGCCAAGAACTAAATCATATCATATATCATCATATCATCATATCATATCATATTATATTATAAGTGGGAAGCCTCTATGTCAAAAGTTGAATTACAAAAATGTATGTCAAAAGTTGAATTACAAAAATGTCCTTATAATATCATAATATTTATGGACAAAAATGTAAATATACATTAAATATTAATAAAAACTATTGTATTTTCTATTAAACACTATTATATTACATATTTATGAACAAAAATATAAATACACATTAATTATAATAAATATCCTAATATATTTTTAATAATAATATTAATATTCTAAAAATGGAGAACTCACAATCTATGACATGAATTAATATAGATACAATGAATATTTGTACAATTGGATGATATCCTATTAAATGACAAAAGGAAATCAAAAAGTTTGGCAACAATTAAAATGACCCTTAAGTGTACCTTAGTTACTCCTACCGTGCAAAGTTATAAAAAATTTCAGATGAATTATATTCATAAAATTATATTAAATGCTAAGTTATTGCTTCAATAAATACTTACTATGGAAGTTTGCAATCGTTTAAACTTTTGATTTTCTTCTGTTATAATTAGCACAAACTAATGATGAATTACATACTTGGTAAATTAATTTATATATATTAAAAGTGGGATAAAAAAAAATATTATTCATAAATAATAATTAATATCCATAATAATAATGAATCAAAAGTTAGTTTATCATTTTATCCTTGGAGTAAAAGCAAATATTCATTTGAATAACTTTTGTTTACATAAGAAAATATAACAAAATTCATTAGCCCCTCAAATTCAATGAATCTAAATACTATATATGCTTTCTGAAAATGCTTATTGCCACAATTTTATTTATCTCTTTCACCTTCTCCTTCACTACATGTTTAGAGGAACAAAAATGTTTGGTGAGGGTGAAGACGACATTGTGTAACAACAATTAATTATGGTCAGTCACATGTGTATAAGTTCCCTAAATTATTTTACTCATTAAATTTTGTTTCTTTCATCTTCCATAGAGTCTTTTTACATTCTTCATTTATATTAATATTAAATTTCTTAATTTTTACTGGTTGTACATAGGTGTATTTTTATCTTCTCCATAATAATTATTATGGTCAATCTTTTCATATTCTTTAAAATACTCTTCATAAGGTGTGTTTGTCCCATTATTCCATTTGCCTTCTTTCGGTTAGATTTCTCCTCCAAGAAGAGTCTACTTCAGGTAAATCTATTCCAATTGATTTAGCTACAAATATTTACCACTTTTTGTATTATTGCTAAACTAGCAATATATTCACTTCTTTTAGTATAATATGTATTTCTGAAAAGCTTATGTTGTAATAAAACTCAAATTCAGATAGAAGTAATTGTCCGTGAAATCCTTTGCATATTTGAACTTTGAAGTGTGGATATGGACTATGTTTGGAGCACACAGGTTCACATTTGACTATGTGTGTTTGTGTAGTTTAAAATTGTATGAAATACACGTGCAAAGAATGTGTCCAGAGACTAGTATTATTATAAGTGAGAAGCTCCTAACCTCAAAGTTGGATTACTATTTTTCCCTTATCTTACTACTAAAATAAATTAAATATTAATATTTATTTAATTAATTAAATATTAATATTTATTTAATTAATTAAATATTAATATTTATTTAATTAATTAAATATTAAGTAATAGTTATATTGAAATTCATGCATCAACCAAGATCTTAATGCAATCATATATTCATGTACCTTGACTTAATGCAAGATCTTAAATGTGGGTAATGAAGAGTCTAATAACCTTTAATTGTAATTTGTAAGATTAGTGAGTGTAATGAAGAGTCTATCAAAGACACTCACACAACATTATTTATATTTCTTTCTTTCATCCAAATTTGTGCTCATTTTCCATTCTTCATTAGGTTAGTCTACATCATTTGTAAATTTTTCATTACCAATTTGAAATTGTAAGAATTCTTACTATTCATTTATTTGTATTCTTTAAAATTTCATGCATATTCATCTTCTTTTTGTTGAGAAATATGTAAATTATCATAGTTACAAAATGAATATTCTCCAATATGAAGTTGTAAGTGAATTTTGATTTTTCATATCTCCATCTTTTTGAGTTTTTAAATATAACTTCGTAATTGATTACTATATTTTTATATTATCATTTCTTCTATCTTTAGGATATAAATATAATAAAGCTAATCCCAATTTATATTTATAATTAATTGTTTTGAGGGTAAGCATGTTAAATCCCCGTAGAATATTTTCACAACTAGACCCGTAAAAGAGTAAGTCTTTGATAAAGATTTATAGTTATGTATTTTTCGTTGTTTGATAATCATTTATCTTTTTAAAACAACATGTTTGTACTTTTTCCTTTTTATATGTAATCTCAAACGTTTATAAAATTCATGTACTTAACTATTACAAGAGGTACAAAAATTAGTGCACAAATAAAAATAAAATAAAAAATAATGTAAAGTAAAAATTAGTGCAAATGTTACATTGAATTTTATTATATTAGAATTCATATTTATTTTTTTATATACAGATTCTTTAATATATAGTTCAAGAAATATAGTGTATCTGTATTTTTAACATAGTCATGCTTTCTTTTCTGTTTATTTTTTTTATGATTTTAGTTTTTTTATGCATATGAAACATTTTGTCTATAGCAAGTCGACTTCTAACAAAATGTAATTCAATTAATATGACAATATTTTTGTCTATATATTTTAATGTGATGTCTTTTATTATGGATGTCATGTCTTTATTTACTTTTCTTTCTTTTCCGTTTGAACTTGTAATGTTTTCAATAAATTTAATGTTACACCACCTAGACATTTTTGTAATATTTTTCTTTCTAAGTATCTTTTTTATAGCCAAATTCTTTTTTGATTATTAATACTTACATTTAGTAATTAAAATATATAAATTCCTCTGATATAATAAAAGATTTTTTTTCATGAAGCTTTTAAAATATCAAACCTTCAATATCTGACAAAAGATTTTCATGCTATATTTTGTGAAAAGTTATATTCTTATGTCAAATTTACATATAAAAGGACTTAACTTTGAACTTAGCGCTGATATATGTATGCTCCACTATGATATATTTACTTATATAAATTAACTTTTCTAATATCAATTAGGGAATAAACGTTCAATGCAGGTTCCGAGGACTAGCTACTATAAAGGCAATGAACTAGACTAGAAAATAAGAGTGCAAAAGATTAAAGATATACCATGAAACTTTAAGAGTTATATATAAAACTCATATATGTGTAATTATGTTTTTAATACATATTTTTATAGTCTGTTTGGTTCGGGTTCTTAATTATTTTTGTCTAAAACTAAAATCAAAATCAAAACCAAATCAAACTAAAAAGATACTATTAATTTTTTCTTTTGGTTCGATTTCCCATGAACACTCCTATTTGGTACATTTAGTGGCAAGATATACAATACTCCCTCCGTCCATTTTTAGTTGTCATGTTGCGTTTTTCAAAAGTTTATTTGACTAATTTTCAAAATTAAATTAAATTACATTAATTTGATATTTTAAACAAAAAAAAGTAGATATTAAAAAATTGTATGAAAAATACTATAAATTGTAATTTTTTGCATCTCAATATGATGAAAAAATACACTGTAAAATGTTAGTCAAAGTTCTTAGTGTTTGATTCTAAAAAAAGGAATCCATGACAATTAAAAGTGGATGAAGGGAATACTTCTGGCAGCGACTGGATACACCATTTTTATGAGGAGTATTTATGTCACCACTGGACGGAGGGTGTAACAACTCCAATTATTTCACAATAGAAACATTCAAATATTATAATCACTAAACTCGAAGTTACAAGGGAAAATGAAACTAACAAAGAAAACTATTGTAGGAGATAACTAGAACAGAGATGAGAAGCATAGACTCAAAGAAAGGAGATGAGAGGACTAGACATTTTTTTCTCAACAATTTACATAATCCCTAAATCACATATCACTACCCTTTTTGATGGAATCGTTTTATGCCCACTACTCAATCCGGATCCCAAATTAACCTGGCTCTATTGCTCGTTCTCGGCCCAATATCTCTTGTCAGCCCAATAACAACTTGTATGACATTAGTATCTACATTGGGCTGGACTTGGTTCATAACAAAGGGAGTACTTTTGGCAGCGACGCTATATGATCGTATCACCACCAAAGGCTTTTGCGTGGCAACCTATTGACTTCTGGTGACGATTTCTGGTTGCCATAAAAGGTCTCATTTCCTGTAGTAAGCTATATGCATTTCTCTCCCCTTTTAGTTTCACAATTTCTGGCTTCCCAAAAAAAATCCTTCTGAAAAATTTGGCAAAATAAATCAAGATTTTTGGAGTAGAGTTCTTTTTTTTAAAAATAGTTGCAGGAGACAAACTCTATACTGACTTTACTGAGGATGATGTTTAGCTGCATTTATTAGTTTTTTCTCACTTCCTATAGTGACCATGTATGGATAATGATATTAGCTTGACCATATAGAAAACTTTATAGGTTTTACCAGTACAACCCAAATAAATGATCATATGCCTGAAAGCTAAAAACAGAAACTTGTGTAATGAAAAAAAATGGTCAATTTTTCTTGGGAATTTGGAGCTAGAATCAGTTAGAATTTGAATTTTGTTAATAAGGCTCAAACCACAAATAGAAACTATGTCAAAAAAACAATCCGTCTTATTCACAACTCAAAAGGGCAATGCGTCAATCAAATGAAAGGAAACAGAAAAGAAAAAATGAAGTTCGAAAAGTTGGCTTCGAGCTTATGCCATAACTCAACTAGACCATCTAGACACCAGAATTTCCACTAAACTAATAAAAATCCAAGTTCATCTCCATAGGAGAATCCGGCGATGATGAGGGCAAGATAACTTGTTCACTTTGCGCGTTGGCAATCCTCTTTAGCCTTTCCTCATCAATTCCAAATGAAGCTGCAAATTCTGGCCCGCTCAAGCTCTGCATCAATGAGTTCCTACCTACCAAGAAATGTGGATGGTTCCTCCTTGCTGATGTACTGAAGCCGAAGAACTCAAATGGGCCATTCGATGAAGCAATTTGGCAGAAGGGGAAGTACCTTGGCACCCAAAAAACGTCCCCTTCTCGTACTCTGGCATTCATAGCTAATGTCCCATTCGGATACACAATTTGGATCCTTCCGGTCCCTTTCAACACTATTCCGTACTCTATTGCTCTTGGATTAACATGAGGTGCCATCATGGATCCCTACATTAACCAAAAAACATTGATAAAACAAGCGAGCAAGAAAAGAAACATGTAAGTAAGAAGGGAAAATTTATGATCTAAAATAATGATTGGGTTATTACTGAAGTTAGATTGACAAGATAGACACCATTGCCGGATTGTTCTAAAGGAGAATAATCAGACTCATCCAATGCCTTGCTCCATCCATAGTTGTTCTCGAAATCAGGATTCCTGTTGTAGAGATTGTACGTTGATGGAGCTTTGCGATTTACTCTCTTGACAACGTCTTCCCTGTTTAATAGATTAAACAGAAATTTCCTCAATGACCATGTTGATACTTCCTCTTTGGGGTTAGATTCCTCCCCAAAATTCACAATCCTCTTCAAGTGAGCTAATATCTGATGGGGTTCTTGGGCTAAGAATTTGGACCAAATGTTTAACTGATGAGAATTAGATAAATGCACGATTGGCCCGGAAGTTTGCCTGATCAAGAACGTCTTTAATTCTGCTGTCGATACCTGTCATTTTACATTATCTTGACTCAGTTTTTTCAACTGGAAAATATTGAGGATAAATAAATAAATTCCTCGAATACTTACATTAAGAGCAGTTGATAATGTGGTATGATCGAATCCAGCAAGAATAGATGTATGAACTCCACCGCCAATGAAGAATGACTAAAAATAATTACAATTTACACGAGTTACTACAAAGTTTTGGGAAGAAAATTAGGACATTACAAGAAATGGATTAAAAGACCATTTTGTCGAAAAATTAGCTTTGGATACCTGGAAAGCATTCCATCCCATGGATTCTGAGGAAATACCAATACTACAAATTATGCGAAGTCTCTGGTTTTCATTTCCATTCTCCAAATAGAAAGCTGATCCAGCAGGAATTGTGTACACATCTCCTTCTTTCAAACTCCTTTCCGCTAATTCATCTCTATAGATGTTTCCGGTTGTCGCTTCCCCTGTATTCATTTCATAAAAAAATGAATATTCTGGCTCGTTAAAGCAAAGAATTTAACTTTTTACACTGTTTGAACACTTCAAAATGTAGTAGCAGATAATCTTTCTTATTATTTTCCATGTCACTGATTCCACTTTAAGTGAAAATTAAACTATCTTGTGAAAGCGAAGATGAAGTTTAATTAATTACCTTGATGAACAAAGAGGAGAAGATCGGAATCAAGATACTGAGGGATGAAGAGGCTATTTGGTTCCATGGAGATGAAACCAATATGCATTGGACTATGGAGAAATGAACCCGCTCGATAGCCACCCTTCACTATTCTCATAGATCCAGCATCAGTTTTCACAACATTATGTAACTGACGCAACAAGAACCATTTTTCTCCTTGTGTTGTTTGCTCGCTTTTTTCCTCTTCATAGGCACCAACAAAGGACACTAGTCCTGAGAAAAGTACCAGAACTAGAAGCAACAGTATTCTTCTATCTCCCATTTTCAATTTGTTACACTAAAGCAAATTGTCTTTAATTTGTTTGGTACGATGGAGATGAAGGATCTGTTGTTGTTTATATAGAGGGGATGGTGAGATTTTAAAGGGAGTTGTTGTCAATCATGCAAAATTACTAGGCTTTTCTTGTCTACTTAACGTTTAGATCCTAAAAAATATTTGTTGAAGCTTGTATACTGAACCAAATCATGTAGCCAAATTTGATGACCAATTCAAAGAGCTACTCTAGCGTACTAAAAAAATGTACTATCTAATTTTTGAAGATGTAAATACTAAGTTTTACCCTTGTATTAAGGTTTTCAATAAACGTTTAGCATAAACAATTCATAAAACCACAATAATACTAATAATACAATTTTGTCAGGATACATAGAGACTTTAATTTATCTGAACACAGAAAAATATTTGTCATACAAACAAATTTGAGCTCATGGTCTTATTTTTACACATATTTTTTTTAAAAAAAAAAAAAGTTTATCTAGGAATGGTCAATCTGGCTTGAACTCCTCTCTCATATCAAATTCCAAACGCAAAATCAAAACCCACCTAGGGTTCTAACAGAGATAATTGAAATCTCATAATTATAAATTTCAAACTTATAGATGTAATCGAGTCACCGGCAAAAAAATATAAGCAAGATCTCCGATTAACTTCCAAATCAGGAGAATGCGAAAACACAAAGTTCAAACCTAATATATATATATGAATGACAAAATGCAGTAAAATACCCGGTTAGCATATATGAAGGACACTAATGAAAATTGACGCATCTTGGTTTTTTGGGTCAAAATTTTGGTTAATTCGATTCAACTTGACTCTAGTCAAAGCTAACTGATATATCATATTATTTTTATTATTATATATATGAACCGCTGGATTCGGTTTCCATTAGAAAAAAATGTATTGTAGTAATAAAAGGGGTTCAAACTTGATTTAAGTCACATGTGAAAATCTTGCAAAAGTGTCAATGGAACTATTTTAGGAATAAGCTTAAATATTTTTGAGAAATTCATGTTAAAAATATGAGATTAAAATTACAAGATGATATTTTGTTTTGTTTGTGGTCTTGAGAAGGAATCACTAGAACATTTGTTCTTTTGTTGTCCTAGGTGTATCCAGTAATTTGGCCAGAATCAATGAGATTCTTGAACTTATATGTATACATCATGATTTGGTTTATTTGGGAAGTTAGAAATAACTTGGTGTTGTATGTAGAATGCTTCTTTTATTATTGTGTCAAGTCCATAATTACTGTCGGAAATAACATATCTAGACTACAGGAATTTCATCTTACTAATGGTAAAAGAGTTCGAACCATGAACACAATCATGTCAAAAAAACAATCCGTCTTATTCACAACTCAAAAGGGCAATGTGTCTTAGCTTGTGTCCAACAAGACTACAGAGGAAACAAAATCAGATTGCATCAAGGGAAAACAGAAAAGAAAAACAAAACAAAGTTCCAAAACTGGCATCGCGCTTTCATGCTATAACTCAACTCCAACTAAACTAATCAAAATTCATAAATTGCCTTGTCACCAGGTGTAGGAGATGATGATGGCAAGATGACTTGTTCATGTTGAGCATTAGTAATCCTTTTAAGCCTTTTCTCGCCAATTCCAAATGCAGCTGCAAATTCTGGCCCTCTCAATCTCTGCATCAATGAGTTCTTACCCACCAAGAACTGTTGATGGTTCCTCCTTGCTGATGTAGTGAAGCCGAAGAACTCAAAATTGCCATTTGTAGAAGCAATTTGACAGAAGGGGAAGTACCTTGGCACCCAAAAAACGTCTCCTTCTCGTACTCTTGCATTCATTGCTAAAGTCCCATTTGGATAAACAATTTGGATCCTGCCAGTTCCTTTCAACACTACTCCGTACTCTATTGCTCTTGGATTAACATGAGGGGCCATCATGGATCCCTACATTTACAAGAAAAAAAACATACAAGTTACTATACTTGGATATGTCTAGTAACTATAGTAGCCTGAGGCAAATGTACATTTTAGTCAGTGTGTGCAAGCGGTCATTACCGAAGATAGATTGACAAGGTAAACGCCATTGCCAGATATTTGTAGAGGAGAATAATCAGACTCATCCACATTCTTGCTCCATCCATATTCGTTCTTGAAATCAGGCTTCCTGTTGTAGAGATTGTATGATGATGGAGCTTCATGATTCATTCTCTTGACAAAACCTTTTCTGCTTAATAAAGTACACAAAAATTTCCTCAATGACCATGTTGATTCCTCCTCTTTGGGGATAGCTTCTTCCGCGGAATTCACAATCCTTTTCAAGTGAGCTAGTTTCTTGTGGCATTCTTGGGCAATGAAATTGGTCCAAATGTTTGTGTCATGAGAACCAGATAAATGTACAATTGGTCCGGAAGTTTGTCTGGTCAAGAAAGTTTTTAATTCTGCTGTTGAGACCTGTCATTTTACATAATATTAACTCACCTTCTTCTTTTTTTTCCACTGATAAATGTTGTAAGAAATGGTAAATTTATTTGAACACTTACGTTAAGAGCAGTTGATAATGTGGTATGATCGAATCCAGCAAGAACGGATGCAGGATGAATTCCACCTCCAATGAAGAAAGACTGCAAAATAGTTACCCGGAAGATTTGGGAAGAAAAAGGACGTTAAACTAAAGAGAACTACATTAATTGATCAATTTTTTGAGAATGTGACTTGGGGTACCTGGAAAGCATGCCATCCCATGGATTCTGAGGTAATACCAATACTACAAATTATGCGAAGTCTCTGGTTTTTATTTCTATTCTCCAAATAAAAAGCTGATCCTGCCGGAATTGTGTACACATCTCCCTGCTTCAAACTCCTTTCCGCTAATTCATCTCTATAGATGTGTCCAACTCTCGCTTCCCCTGTATTCATTTCATAAAAAAATGAATATTCTTGCTCGTTAAAGGTAAACTCTTTAAAATATCTAGTGAAAGCAAAGACAACTTTTAATTAATTACCATGGTGAACAAAAATGACAAGATCGGAATCAAGATACTGAGGGATGAACAGACTATTGGGTTCCATGGAGATGAAACCAATATGCATTGGACTATGGAGAAATGAACCCGCTCGATAGCCACCCTTCACCATTCTCATAGACCCTGCATCAGTTTTCACAACATTATGTAACTGACGTAACAAGAACCATTTTTCTCCTTGTGTCCTTTGCTCGCTATTTCTCCCTTCATACTCATAGCCACAAACAGAGGAAACGAAAAGTGCAAGCACTAGAAGCAACAGTGTCCTCATATTTCCCATTTTCCAACTCGTTACACAAAAGCAAGTTTTCTTTAATCAGTTTGGTACAATGGAGATGAAGGATCAGTAGTTGTTTATATAGAGGGAATAGTGAGATTTGATGGAGTTGTTGTCAACCATGCATGCTTTTTAGCCTCTTTTTTTTCTGGTTTATTATAAACGTTCAGATCCTGAAAAATGTATACTGAACCCAAAAAAATAAAAATCATTTGGCGACAGAACCAAATGATCATTTTAGCGAAAATGCAATTTGATGACTATTTCAAAGGGCTTATCTAAGAGAAACGATTTTATGTTTGCACATAAACATGCTAAACTAATTTTAATAAATCATGAAATAGTAGTCGTATAATAAGTCAGACAGAATAACATTGATATACTGGAAACATCTTAAAGCTAGGAACATTATGCCTTACCCTTCTTATTATATCATTATTATGTCTACCTCTTTTGGATTTTCATACTATAATAATGAACATGCTAATTTATCTTATTTTCTTTTAGAATTAAATTTGTTGAGATTAAGTTTCTTGTAGCAGTGAACAGGTTTATTGCCAGTTTATGGGCCACTTGGTGAAACATATCTTTGGGCAAATAGTCTCTGGTCTTGCCATACCTAATGAACTGGGCCAATAAAAGACCCAAAATGAATCATTGGGACATAAGCCCATAATAATCTGACCCGACAGTAAACTGCTAGAGATTTATAATAGGGTTATATATTCCCACAAATATCTCTATTTTGTACTAGTAGTCTTTAATTTTTGCCTCTCTGAATTATGGATCTTTAATTTTTACCTCTCACAGCCAACAATGAGCTTATAGTGGACACCTCAACGTTAACGTAAATCAATCAAAAAAATATAGATGATTTATATTTACGCGTATATGAACGACTAATTTTAATAAATTAACATAAAAAGGATTGTCCCTTTAAAGATAACATAAAAAAGAAATATTTTATGTGATTGCACGAGCAGTGTGAAAAGTCATTGTGTCATTTTGATGATGTAACAATGCAATGAAGGATCATCCAAACACTTTTTATAAGTGGTCAAAACCTAAAAAGTAAAAAGTAAAAAAATGTCGACTGATAGAAGAGACAAATAAATCTAAAAGATGACCACGGAAAGAAAAAGACGTTCACGGAGGATCCAATAAATTCGGATTTATATATTTTTGTATCGCATGATTATATTCATTTTTGAAATGATACTTTTATTATTATTTTTTTTATTTTAAAATTTTAATCAAAGATAAAAAAGATCTCAATCATTTCATCGTAATCCTGGCGACATTCCATAATAATCCTGGCGAGTTTAGGTAGACAAGAAGTATGATCAGATTTTTAGTGTGTGTGATATTAAACTTAAATTTATTTTGGAGTATGCACGGCAGATAGTCAACTTACAATTAACTCATGTCGGTTTTACATAGTGGCAATGTTGTGATCTAAGCTGCAAAATCTAAAAAGGATATCAGAAAATGACAAAAAAGAAAATCTTACGCTTGGAGATAGATTTGATGTAATTGTTTAACTATACTTTTCATCAGTTGTGATCCTTTAAATTTTTACCAAAAACACATACTACTTCTGATTACCGTTAAATAATTTTACAATATCTATTAGATGTGAGGAAAATTATAGAAAAGGCTAAAAATTTAACCAAACATTAAGAAAATTACCTCAAATGCTAGAAATTGCAACACAAAAGTTGCACTAGACACAACACGAAGTAGAAGTCAAACCTCAAAAAATTGCGTCGATTCTAAGAAATTTTATTTTAAAAAAAAATTTAGTAGAAACGGCAAAATATACATTTTCAAAAGTGACCCGTAAATTCCTTTTTCGTTACTCTCTATCAACTAATTAATAATATACTCCCTCCGTCCCATTTTAGGTGGCACTTTTCGCATTTCGAGATTCAAACAAGTCTATCTTTGACCGTAAGTTTTTCATAGATCCTTTTAACATTCTGAATTATTAATTATTGTGACTTATAGTACTTTTAAATAGTTTCCAAATATATAAATTTCATTTCAAAAAATTTGAAGATTCCATAATCAAATGTCCGGTCAAAGGTAAACTGTTTGACTCTCGAAAAATAAAAAGTGTCACATAAATTGAGACAAAGGAAGTATTATCTAACGAACAAAATTTCTTAATTATTTGAAAATGATCAAACTATTCAATACTATAGTTAAGGGACTACGTTAATCGAGCTTTTATGTCCAAACATAATGAATCATTTTTGTTATTTTCTCTAGACTGTGCATGTACATTTGTATTCGGAAGAGACATTATACACATGACATAAGTAAAAGGAATATTGCTGAAAAGATATATTGCCAACACGCTGCATGATGAAGATCATTAAAAGATTTAATAATTTCATTGAAGTGATAGCAGATAGCCCCCCTGCAGCCACTCATGTGATTAAAAATGAAAATAGTATCATAGAGTTAGATATGTATGATCGAAGGAAAAATACGTATTTATTGGGTTAACCAGATAGACATTTGAGAATACGCGTAAAAGAAGTTTTAAAAAAATAGAATAAAAAATATTTAGTAAGAAACACTTTATCATCAATCATAATTTGTATTTGAATGAAATTTATTGACAAATTTAAGAGATTGAGAATATGTTAAGCCATGATTAATTGACATGTATTCACACTTTAGTTAATAAAATTAAATCGCTTGATTAGATATAAACATTCTGAGTATAAGCACTTACTAAAGTAGGAAATTTAATTAATTAATTAATCAGTTGATATGCAATTTGACAATTAGTTTCTGTATAAGTACATGAGTATCTACTAATATTCAGTTTTATCATCTACTCATTTTAAGAAAAAAGAACAGAAATAATGTTAATACGCGTTTAAAGGACATAAGCCATGATTAAACTCAAAAAGAAACAAGAAAAAGTAGGACAAGGGAACGTGCATTCTCGATTTGGAGTTGACAACTAAATCTTTCTCCTATCTTATCCCTACAGAGACACCTCCAAAACTGTACAATGACCCTTTATACTAGTAGACGTATTCAGGATTTAAAAGGATGAGCGTCCTATTACGAAAAAAATGTATCTAAAATAAAAATTTGATCAGTTTAGCCTACAGGTTTTTAATATGAACTGTAAAAATTTTAAAATTATATATCCAAAAGCATAATATTACTATATTTAAATTTTAATATACACATTTGATTTAACTATATATATAAAAAAAAATTAGGAATTTTCACGTAACACTCTTGAACTTTGAAAGATTAAGAAAAAAATAAAATTAGTTGAAACGTCAAAAGTGTTATCGATAACCACTTGCAGAGGTGTTACTAAAAAAAACAATATAAATATAAGATTTAAATTTCTATCATCGCTTAGAGAGGTGCACCCAATCATTATCATATTTTTATATGGTACTTTGAATGTGGGTTCATATATTTATATTTAAATATTTTTAAAAAAATATAACACTACTATATATGATCTTAAAAGAGAAGCATGGGTTCATTGAATCCATTGAACCCCTCTAGATACGCCTCTGTTTATACAATTTATTTTTTCTAAACACTACTCGCTTCAATCCAAAATATGATTTAGTTTTAAATGTATTAATTAATAAGATAATTTATATCTATAATTTTAATTCACAAATTTTAGAAGTTTGTTCAGTTCAAACTTGGTATTCAGTCAAATATCAAAAGAAAAAAGAGAAGAAGAATTGGATCACGCCGCCATAACTTTAAGCAAGTATACGTGTTTAGCTAGGAATCCGACAAAATTGGCGGTTTTTCTTTTTCTAGAATTTGACATCTACTGGATTTTTCAATTTTCACTTAAGATTGAGTTAGTAATGTAGGAATTTCTCATATTTCATTCGTATTAAAAGAAAATAAGAAAAATTTTACTCTCTATGTTTTTTTTTTTTGACCCCGCAGCCTGTACAGGCTTAACTCAGAAGACATTGAGAGGAGATCGATTCTAAGTCATTCGTGTGGATAACCATCCTTCAAATCAATTGAGCCATCCGAAGGACACTCTCTATGTTTTATATATCTATTTTGAATTTTGTCAAATACTTGTGTAATGTCCTGGAAAAAAAAAATACTTGTGTAATGTATTTGCCATATTCACTCATGTATAGTATTGCAGCCATCTAACTTATGGATTGATTGTTTAGCATTCGTTGGTTGAGAAATCATCAAATTAGATATCAGTTATTATTTGATTGTTCTCTCAAATTTATGTTATACTCCATTATAGTTAGAATCTCCGTGAAATTTTATTACTTTTAAATTTCATAAACTTAAACATGTAGTACTATTTAGTAATATTTGTGTATCTATAAAAAAAATAAAAAATACTTACTCCCTTAAACATAGATTAATATTTATGATATTATTAGAAACTATTCAAGTAAATCTCTCCAATTATCATTCAGCTTAATTTGTAGTTATCACACAAAAGTGATAGTTGATTTCTATTATTTTTAATTCAGCTTAAGGATTATTATCAGATATATATTTTTTACAATTTTAAGGATGAAACTGAGGAACGTTTACTATCTGAGTAATTCATCATTTTGTCACATAAAAGTTATTTAACTTTAAGTTTATCACACAAAATGATTTTTTATCATATAAAATTATTTAATTTTGCTCTAGTTAGCTAAAAAATAAATTTCACCTGAATTTTTATATTTTATACTATCAAAATTATAAAAAGTTAGAATCCACGAAGATATATAGGGGATTTTTTATTTTCAAAAAATAGGGTTACAAAAAGCAACTTGAATTGGTATGATATGACATCGTCGGTTAAGTGACAAGACAAAGGTGAACATTTCAAATGTAGACAGGTACTGTGTATTTGAAAGACTAAAAATAGTAAGATTCAATGTTTCATTTTGAGAGGGAATTCACTAAAAATGAGGCACAAGTATGACATGGTGTGTGAGGAATTACATTTTAATAAAAAATGTGGTGTGACATATGGTGTAAAAACCCACACTATTTTATACAATTATTAATTATTATATATATATTTGTTTTTATCTAGTGTCTGATATTCACATTGAAGCTCGACTAAATTTGGATTCGCATCGGAAAGTCCCACATTGAGGGTAAAGTTCTTTCGAACAAAGGCGACTTTGTACCCAAGGAGACTCAAACCTAAGATCTCTTGATTAAGGATGAAGGAATATTTACCACTTCACCAAAACCCTTATTGGTAACAATTATATATATACAAAAATATCAATTGTAATGCGCAAAAAAGGAAAAATATATTATATGATAAATATTTGTATATACAAAATATTTTTTTCCTTTTTTAATAAATTGAATTAGATATAATGGTATGGGAGTGTAGCATTTACATCTGTAAAAATTAAATTAATTTTAGTGTAATACGCAATTAAACTTTTTAAAAAATTAAGAAAATAAAAAAACTTAATTTTATTGATTCGGTTGGTTTGATAAGTGAAAAAACTAATCAATCCAATGTATATATATATGTACCAAATGAGGAATTTTCATAACTTAGTTAATTGACTACCTAGGCGTTCATCTCGTAGGTTAAAATTTCAGTCTTCATTTTATAATTTTCTCCTAGATTTTTCCTCTTCATATTCTTGATTATTTTTTTAAAAAATAAAAATAAAATCTACAAGCCAATTATCAAATGGAGAAAGATATACAATATAAGAAGAATTGAGTAAATTAAACTCATGAAAGGTTAAAGGGAAGAAATTGAGAAAAAGAAGTGTGAGAAGCAAAGTAGGAGAGAGAAAGGCCCCCACTATCATTCTGATAATTTTTTATTCATAAAAATTATAAAAATTAAGTAAAAGAAGGAGAGAGAAATAACAATGCAAATAAAAAAATAGGATCCACACATTTTTTATTGAAAAATAATCCCTCACACACCATGTCATACTTGTGCCTCTACCACCATAAATTTTTTCGGAATTCACATGGAAAATCAGTTTGATGTAAGCTATTTTAGGTGACCAAAAAGTTTGGCTTAATTAGATTTAATTAATAATATGAAGTGGGAATGGACTTACAAGAAAGAACAAATATAAAAACATCTATCTTTTTAGTTAAATTAAACTAGCATTATTATAAAAATATCTATCAAGATCTCGTTCATAGTAATTTACAATTGTGTTATCCTCCACTATAACCTTCTAGGGAGTTAAATCTGCTCCCATGACTATATATATAAACACAGAGGCAGATAAACCCCGGTTTACCAGATTCTGTTACCTTGCATCCATTATTTTTGACACGAAACATAATATTTAAAATAACACTAAAGTTTTGACATAACCTATGAGATATTTCAAAAGTATAATTATATCGAATTCAATAATAAGAACTTGAAAACTTGAATCAATCAAATTTAAGTTCTAGCTCTGTCTCGATGTGCGAATGTTGTTTGAGGAACATATACGTATATCTTCCTTTTTGATCATGTCCAAAGAGTCTCCAGGGTCCCATAATTGTTGTTTTCATCTAGGAAACTCATGCTATTTTGGGTGGTGGCATGTATAGTACTATTGGTGAACTTGTCCAAAGATTGTTGGGATGATGTTGGTGGAGATGGTCCCGTTTCCATGTAAACAAAGGCCATGAGATTAGCTTGTTGGCATTGGATATTGACAAGTTCAGCTTGTGTTTTGGCTAATTGTGCTTGTAGCTCATTTACTTGTTTTTGAAGTTGACAAATTGCCCCAGCAGAACCATAGACTGGATCCCTCATCCTAGCGTTAGCCTCGTACACCATGCTACTTACAGCATCTGCTCTTTGATATTCCGGCAATTCCTAATCAAAATTGAAAAAAAATATGATTTTAGAACAAATCATCCCACGTTCACATAGGGTTCGGATAAGGACCACACACTAGAAGGATGTAATGTGGCTTATATTTAGTCTACCCTAATGTAAACATCAGTAGTAGTTGATTATTCCAAGCTTTGAAATTGATTAAAATGATTTTAGAATTTCCAATTAAGCACTAAACTAGTATGTACTGAGACAGTCTATTCTGATGCAAGTATTATTAGTTGATCAAACTTGTAACTTATAACTCACACGAAAATAACTTTATCATTACTCTACGGCTCTCTTCAGTAACAATAGTCATTACATGTCTATACAACAAATGGAACCATGAGAGAGAATTAAGAGTATGATTCTTCATTATTTGACACAAGAAGCCATGAGTAGCTGGTAGCAATAAGCCATGATGGTTTTTTTCTTTTTCTGGAGAACTAAGACAAGTCAATGCACAAGCAAAAAATGGAAAAGAACAGTAGTAATTAGGATGTAAACAGGAAAAAGTTTCTTCTTCAATAATTTATAAAGTAGATGTAGTTGTTGGTACTCATTATAATATATTATCCAAATGATTTGAAAGCATGTTGGCCTTAAAAATCAATTCCCTCCTCTACAATTCGAAGAGCAACACTAGAATTTCACTATCAACAATTATGATGTTAGTTTGGATAAATAATTATATAACAGTAGGACTATAATTTTTCAAATTGTAGCATTGGACTACATTAAATACTACCACCTAATTGGTCCGGCCATTAAATAAATTAAATCGTACATGTTAAAACATGTCTCCCTATATTTGCCTTTGACCAATTTTTTGTTGTCGATATTTTTATTACAAATACACTGATATTAAATACAGGGGCAGATCTAGGCTGCGCAAAAGAGTTTACTTGTAATGTCGGTTAAAGGGGAATTAGAATTTTGAATTTATAAATTCTAAATTCTAGAAAAGATAATTTATTGAACTGTGAATAAATTATGTATATATGCTGCGTGTGTTAGAGTCTCACATGTGTAGGATGAGGAAAAAATAGTATCCTTATATAAACTTGAGCTAATTTTTGGGCTGAATTTATGTCCAAAGTTCATTTCTTTACCTGGTATCAGAGTAGACTCATCTCAATTTATAATTACCAATGTTGGGGCACCATATTAAAATTTAGTAAAAATTATATAAATCTCGTAATGTTAAGAGTTAATTACATTATATTCCTACTCTTTTAAATTAAAAAATCCCTTAGAATTAAAAAAAAAACGGATACATCCTTCCACATGCGGATACATAGCGCCTGATACATCCCACGGAGGAGGAATGTATCCGAGAATGATAGGAATGTATGCAAAAGGGGAGGGCCGTATCCAAAAAGAGATAAAAATGTATCCGAGAGGAGATAATTTTTGTATTTTTTCCTAAAATGTATCCATGCACTAAATGTTCAATTCTTGACATGAGGCGACATGTTAAGTCCCACAACGATAATCCTTCCCTAACTTGCTTTTCAGACATAGGACGTATATGCAACAATATATAAAATCTGTTGGGAATACAATTAAATAATAAAAATGTACTCACTTTATCAATTTAAGTTTTTAAATGAGATGATCACATGCAATTTCAACGTGTATCAGAGCAGCAATAAAATCCATCCACAGGAGCAAGTAACAACTATCAAATGTAAAATTGTACCTGCAAGAACTTGATAATATTGCTAGCACCAAAAACACGATGAGCAATGGTGAATTTGATGGGTTCACTGGGAGGAAAATAAGGTGCCAACACACATTTCTCCGCGCATCTCCGCCGTAATATCTTACAGGCAGCACAAGGTGTGGCCACGACCCGCGGCGGAGATGGAGAGTTAGTTGGCGGCAATACGGAGCAAGGAGACGACGGTGTTGCGGTGGTGATCGTCGTATTGCTGGACTCCATATTTTTAAAATTTATAAAAAAAAAGCGTACGTGCAAGGAATTAAGAAAGCAGAGCAAAGAGAGTAGTAGGGGTGCTTTAAAACAGAGTAAGTGAAGTCAATATTTATAAGCCAAGAAACGAGTGGCGGCCTGGCGGGGGTGAGAGAGTGGGGGTGGGGGTGACATCATATGATATCAACACTTTTTTATAAAAAAATTAAAAACTTTTTTTAAAACGAAGAAAAAAAAACTTTTGTAGTTTAAATTATATATATTGACGATATAAAAGAATTTTGTATTTGCGAAAGGACTCAATATTTCAGCACCGATTCAATGATCAGTCGATAAATATATCTTGAACTCACAATCTTAAAAGTATGATGCTAAAGGTCTTAAATGACGTACTCATAATTCATCTTAAATTCGCCTTTGTTTGTATTTTACCTAATAACTTGTCATTTACCATGTTTTATCAGATAACAATTCATATTAACTAATCTTAATTGAGTTGCCTATCTTTGTTCTTTCTTTTTCTCCTGCATGTGAAAACTCGTTTGGCTTAGCCGATTTTGGTTACTACATTAACCAATTTAGGGGTTAACTGAGAGGCAATTAACACTTTCTTGTTTTTTTTTTTATCTAATGAAAGTAAGAAATAAACCAATCAGAAAAATGAAAATTGGAAATTCATATTCCTAGTAAATCAATAAAAGCGGTAGCATTCAAGAAACAAACATATAATAATTGATTTCAAGAATTTTTTTGATTATTGGATAGTGTAATATGACTTGATCATTCTCTTTATGCCAATTAAAATTTAGTTGCAAAATTATTATATATGTTGATAAAGATTATAATACCTTGAACATATATTTTGTTATGTTGCAAACTTGAATACTTTATCAGAAACAATTTTTCTACCTTGTAAAGATAAGGGTAAAATCGGCGTATATTCAACCTCTCCAGATACGAGTATACTGGAAATATTATTGTTGTTTAGTCAAATTATATCTCCCCAAATAATCTTTTGTATGATAATTTCATAAAAACAATTGATAAAGTGGTGGTCTAGAAACCATTGAAACTAAAGTGCACATTGGGACAAAAAAATAACTCTCCAACTTTCCTGGACTTGAAGTGGCATGAGAAGTCAAAACTACATAAATCTAACTTAGAAATACTCTACGTAACTTGGAAAAAATGGGCTCTTTGGCTTCCAAAATTCCACTAATATGACCAGTAAAATTCGCTTTAAGTTAAATCTTATCGATCAAAATTGGAATTCACCATTTTGAAACTAACTTAATTATCATCTTGCAATTACATTAAGCCACCTGTTAACTTAGATTTTGAATACGAAAAGCGCCATTACGGAAACTGTTTTTCCTCTTCAAAATATTTGTATTTATCAGTTTATGGGATAATCAATTAAGGACTTTTATCTTCGGAATCATCAAAAAGGACGGTGCAAAAAAAATCAAATTTTGAAACGCTCCAAAAAAATATATAAGATGCTGAAAAATGGTCAATTACTTGAATATGAGAATCAATATGAATATAGCGTTTGATAATTTTAACAAAGAAGAAAATAATCTATTCAATATTATAAATGACTGAATACTGAGTGACTTTTTTTTTTGTTACAACCTAGCTAGGATTGATCTATACAGTTTTGTTAGGAGAGGAATTAATTACACTAGAAATTTTAATATTGAAGATTAAATGTTGTTAAGATCATTAAAATAAAAAGTAAGTTGCTCCTTATTTATTATGACTTAGGAAGATAGATAGGTCATATTGATATCATGTTGTCTTTATAGGTTGATATCATTAAGATAATTGGTTCATATTTCCTACTACACTAACCACCACTACATTACGTGTCTAAAAATGGAAAATGACAGAAAAAGGGATCATAGGCTAAAATTGGTGGTTGATTAAGGTGTTAGTAAAAAAGGTCAGCTCGTTTGGCACATGTATTAGAAAAAAAAAATGTCATTTCCTAGTTGTTGTTTTTTTTGTGAAGATGATGTCCAAGTGAACTCATTTTATTTCATTAATCAATATATTGTCGCAATAATGTAACAGAAAAGTACTCTAATAAATGAATAAAAGTGCGTAACATAGATGTTTACCTGAAAATCAAAAGACAAAGATGGTCAAAATGCATAATAATAACACTGAATTGATGGTCAAAATGCACTGGCGGCCAAATGTCCTATTAAACAATGCCCTCTTTTGTACTTAACATGATCTCCTTTTCAAGCACTCTGTCTTCTCTTAACTAGTATTTTTTTTTTCTAGATGCGCGAGACTTGTCAATACAGGCGGAGCTAGCATGAGAAGAATTGGTTTTATAAAACTCAATAATTTAGGTTCGGATGATGTATATTTGTTAAAAATAATAAATTTTAATTTTGAATGTGTCTCGTCTTGTCAAAGCTAGAATTGTTGTGTAGGTATTACATTTTAATTTAATTTTAAACACATGAAATGAGTGAAATACCTTGATCCACATCTTTATAAAATCATTTTTTGATAAATTTATATATGATTTCTGATGTGGATATTATAATATAATATATCTCCAACACGTAATGTAGAAAAGTGAATTCACACACGCAGCTTTCCATATATGCATTGATGATTTAGCTGTGTTTATATTGCATAACTACTTGTAAGAGATGTACTTTAATGCTGTTTGCCACACCTTTTTTTTTTTTACTCAATTGTATCCATACTCATAAATTGACCAACCAAAAGAATGTCACACATAATGAAATGGCATTATTTTCGTACTTTATTAGTTCTTGCTTTATATATTTTTCCTACTTCGATTCTCAATCTTATAATTCCCTCTCTGCTACCCCCAATTTTCAAATAAAAAATTATATTTCTTTTGAGCCAATAATCTATCGAACACAATTTCTGATCTATCCCACAAAGTCTGCCTACATTCTATATATCATCCTCAGATTTCACTTGTGGCACTACGCGTTGAATATGTTGTTGTATTTTAAAAGGTCGAAATGAAAGTTTGAACGAGTAGGTTGCAAACTCAATTAATAGTATTTACTAGCTAGCTCCTCATAGAAGAAACATAATACTAAATTCGATTTTTGATTCTATGAAGATCTTGCATTTGATCATTTGAATTTCATTTGCTTTCATAATGAAAAGGAAGAATTGCATTTAGTGCACACAAAGGCTATGACCAAAAAAATAAAATTGACTGTATATATAGCTATCATTGTCATCAATAAACCCAACCTAATTAGTTGTGCACCTAATTAATACTATATATCATGAGGAGAGTCGGAGACCAATATCATTAAATTTGTTGAAACTGAAAAGACTTGTATATACACTCATCTGTGCTTATCCTTTATGTCTACTTGTACAAATTATTAGATTCCTATAAGATGGAGTGTTAAGAGAATCCTATGGTTATACTGTAGTTAACATATTTTACATGATTACTTATCCACATAATAAGCATTTGAGAGCACACGCAAAAGCTTTCAAATTTTTTGAATCATAAGTGTCTAATTATAAACATTTTATCATGTGTTTAAATACTCAATCGAAACATATCATAATTCAAATATCTAAATAAAATATACTGAGAAGTCACAAGTTTAAGAAATTGTTGACATACTAAACAAATTATTTAACAGTTAAATCTACTTTTCAACGTAAGACTAAAAGCTAGCGTAATCAGTGGACACGGTCTAATGAGTAGATGGATTACAATTGTATAAATTCTAACACTCATTGTTACCCATTGTATTGTATTGTATCGTTACCATTACTACAATGTTTGTTTTGATTGTTACTTAAAATGTATTGTATTGTATTGTATTGCTAAATTTCGTTGTTACGTAACAATGAAAACCCCCATTTTATGAAACAACCGATTTGGTGTGTTCCCATTGTTACTTAATTTCTTTTTTTCAATTATATCATGGCATAATATTTCATAATACTTGTTTACCATTTACCATATATTATTTAATTCTAGTCAAACCTTCTACCCTAGAATAATTAAGTATATTTTAGTAAATTTATAAATTACAATACAGTATGATACAGTCAAACCAAACAATTAAAATGTTATTAAACAACAACAAACAAGACAGTCTAGCCAAACATTGTATCTACCATACAGTACAATACAATACAGTATATTATGAAACAATGAGTAACAATGATCCAAATAGAGTGTAAGTCTCTATGGGACCATATATACTGCTAGAAATATGTCACCTAAGAAAAAATATTATTTAGTTGCAAAATATAGTGATTTTACTTTGCATAATCCGGAGGAAATTTCCTTATACAAACTTTCAATGGAAAATTACAGTTCAGTGTCTTTGGATCATCTAATTTATAAAATATGCACAACATATAAACCGAAGTGTATAGATAATGTATGCATCGACCATATTAATAAACTGACCATTTACGTAAGTTTCCCAATTGGAAATGAACCAAAATTGGGCGTGTTAGAGTTGCAAGTTGCAACCATCATGCCGTAAATCGAATTTCATATCACGCTAAAGTATTAATTTATTAACTATATAATAAATGTTGATTAAAAAGCAGTGCTAAAGTTGCCTTATTTCAATCTGGACGTACTTCCTGAAAATTGATAGGCAATTCAACCTTTTTTTTTTCTTGAGCCAAATAAGTTGAAAACTATATATTCAATAACTACCTTTTTGTCTCTACCTTTCATACTAGGCGATGTCACATTCATATTTTACCAATAAAGAAATTGAAAGAGAGATGAAAGATTAGAGAAAAATCACTCATTTGCTTAGTCTCAAGAGAGAAAGTCTTAATACATAGGGGTCCTTATGTAGTGTGTATTGGAGAATATAATGCTTGCATTAGCTTGATGTATTATTAGTACCTTGTTTGGTACACTTTTCTAACCTATGCATAACTAATGCTTGTATTAGTAATACAATTTATTGTGTATTGAAGAGTGTATTACTAATACCATCTATTTCTATGCATTAGTAATGCAATGAGTTCTAATGCATGCATTTAACATTATTAAAGACATAATTACCCTCAAAAACTT